TATTAATCAATACAACAAGTTTTCTGCCTGATTACTGATAAATAAAGAAATTGTTTTGAAGTTTGAAAAAGAGGAAATTCGTAAGGAATTGGTTGAGTTGAGATAAGAACTTGATTAATCTAGGAGAGTACAGCTCTTAAATTGTTGAAGTTAAAATTTTTCAGTAAAGAATGGATAAGTAAGTAAGTAAATGCTTAGATATGATAAGTAATAGCATTAATTTCTATAATATGGAAAAATTCACAAAGATATTTTTGTGATAAAATTCTATTCGATATAAAAGATAATTATGCGGGTAAAAGAGCTATTTTACATTTTATAACTTTGAATATAATTATTAAATATAAATTTTTTAAAATATTTTTTTTTAAATAATTTTTAAAATATAAATTTAGTTTTAGAATGCAAGAATTTACATGTGAATTAATTCATCAGATGTTTACGATTTATCAGTTCGTTGCTTAAAACATAAAAAATTTAAACCGGAAAAATTTACATATGAATTTGAATAAATGATAGAAATAGAACAAATTTCTAGAATAAAAATATTTTAAAAGATTATTTGCGCTTTTCGTCACTTTATTATATCGTAGTTTATAAGCTACCGTTTCAGGATTTGAAAATACAGTTTCAATGAAACGATACAGTAACACAATTTTTTCTTTTTTTGAAAGAAAGCGGCAAATTTTACTATGATTGACTGACATTAACTGTTTGCAAATAAATTTAATTTAATTCTTCCAACCTTAATTAAACCAATTTTTAAATTCCTATGAAAAATTTCAATAAAAGCAGAAACAAAAATGAGGAACGAAATCGAAATTTCATCTCTAAATTACGGTATTACGGTAGAAGAAAATAAAAAAAATAGAAAATATGATATTATATAAAATTTAAAATATTTATCTACAAAAAAAAAAAATTGAATTTTCTGCAACAGATGAAAACTTCTATATAATTTGTGCTATTTGCAATATGCCAATATATTCGTATAATTTTTTTTTTTTCTTAAAATCATCATCCAATTATTATTGTATCATAAAATTGAGATAAATGAATTAAACAAATTAGCATAAATGAACAAAAAAAAGGAAATGACAAATTATAGTTAATGGAAAAAATAGAGGTATGAAGCATATTAACTTCCATACTAAATTGAAATAAAAATATAACTTAATTTAACTTTTTTTTTCTTATTGTTTTGAGGAGTATAAAAAAATGTTTTTTCTTTTAAAACTTAATAAAATTAATTTTTCATTTTTTACTACTGTTATCATTGTTACCCGTATCATATCATCATCTACATGGTATTTTCTTCCTCGTTTTGAAGTTGATCAAATTGTACAATTCGTTGACTGCTTAAGCGCAATCGTCGTTTTCGTTTCCACAATTGTATACCGCCAACTATACTTAGCGCTATGATAAGCACTAAACAAATTTCACCGAATGTACTAATTGCGCTTATTGATTGAGTTGATGGCACTGGTAATACTGTAAAAGAATTAAATAAACTTTATTTTTGTTCAAATAATTTCACAAATTAGAAAATTTGAAAATTAACAATTCATTAATTATTGATAGTAATTGTGATATAATTTGAGGGAGAGAAGAAGAAAATAAGAATTAGAAAAGTTAATAATTACTTTATATATTATAATGTAAAAAATTAATAATTACTTTATATATTATAATGTAAAAGTTAATAATTACTTTATATTATAATAGAATAGAAATAAAAAACTTAATAAATATTAAAATATTGTAAACTATTGCATAAACTATAATTGAATAACTGTGTATAACAGTGAGCAATTAATATCAATATTTCAATTCAAATTTTGACTACAATTTATACCGTAATTGCTATTAATAATTAATCAGAAATGAATATAATTAAATAGCCTATCAAGTTTTATATTTTAATTAAGCCTTAGAAGAAAAATCTAGCACAAAGTAAGAATAAAACATTATGATAATTACTTTAGTCTTAGGAATTAGCGATATTTAATTTCAGACAATTTGCTTCACATTTAGCTTTTGAACAACTAACTTTGTTATTTCTTTTATATATGCTATAACTTTTAATTGAAAGTAAATCTTAATCAGGCTAAATTAAATTAGACTGAATTTGAGTTTTATTCAAATATTATATAATTTATCTGTCAATCATGATTCTTGCATAGCAACATACATAATTTTACCTATTCCATTGCTTTCTTTTCTTTAACAACAATTCATATAAGTTAAAAAATATCAATTTTAGCACTTTCAAATGATTTAATCAATAAATCCTTTTTATTTTAAAAGTTTAAAACAAAAAAAAAAGTAGTTAAAGTGTAAATACTTACAACTTTGATCTGTTTTACTAGAATAACTATCATAACCATTGGGTAATTTCTTCCTACTATTTCGTTCCTTATCATATGATAATTGTTGCGATGAAAATCCATCATTTTTATCATTTTCTCCTAAAACAAAAATTTTTCGTTGAAAAAAAAAAATCAAATTAAACTAATTCAATAATTAATTACCTTTATCGATTTACTATTTAGTTATTGATGGATATATTTTCTTCATAATACATTTAAAATTATTTGCAAATAAATAATAAAAATTTGAAATTTAAATTTTAGAAGGAAAAAAAAATAAAAAGTTAATATTTTATAAAAATTACTTGCAGAAGGATTGTAGTTTACATTAACAACCGGTGTTGAACATAAGAAATGTGTACTTTGCCAACAGCTAAGACTATGCCAAGTATAATTACCATTAAGTTGCATTTTCACACATTGTTGAATTATTCGACCTTTCGTATCAGCCGGTTCATCTTCAGCCCAATTCAGAAATGTCACCGGTGACAAATCTTTCCAAGCATATGAACCTGAAAAAAATATTTGTCACCACCTTTTCTTTCCTTTTTTTTTTCAAAATTTAATTTTAATTTTTCAAAGAATTAATTGTATAAATTAAAATTTGTGTAAAAATTATTTTACTCAATTGCAGTTTATTTGAAATCATTGCTTCAATTATTGTTTGTTATTGATGTTATTGTTGTTGTTTTTTTCATTATTATCACTATCATACCTACTAGTTTCATTATTATTTACTTTTCTTATTAAAAATTATCATAATTATCAATATTATCACCATATATTAGTCCCTTTTTTCACTCTTTTTATCATAATTATAAGAATAATAATTTATGCTTATCATTTATATTTGCTATTTTTTTATCATTACTGATAAATTTTAGAAATTTTAGAGTAATGATTACCGTGTTGTTGTCGAATGAGTCCAATTAAAGCATTTGATACGGATAATTCATTATGCAATATGTGACTTTTGAATAATTCAAAATCTTTTTGCGTTTCAAAACTTGCCAATGTTGCATTAAAATACTAAAATTAATTAACAATTAAAAAAAAAATATAAACAATTTAAAAATTCACAAAAATAAAAATATGTACATTCGTGAATAATCTTTGAGCAATTGTTATGTTTTTTTTTTTTTTTTGTCATAAACTGTTGAAGCTTACTGCAATGTCAATTTAATGAATTTAAATTTAAATTGAATTAATGAATAGTTGAATTAATTAAAACTGTTTATTAAAATATTGCTTCAGTCATTGAATTATATATCATCCAAAATATTTATTGACTTTTTTTTTTGCATCATTTATTATTGATTCGTCTAAATCTATATTTTGCTTATAAACCTTAATGATAAATAGTAATTAGCAAGTAAAAAAAATAATTAAAATTGATAACACAACAATTATTGTTTGAAAGTATTACTTAGAAACTAATAGAAATTAAAATAGAATAGAATAAAAAATAATAGAAATAGAATATTAAAATAGAATAGAATGAAAAAAAAAAGTCAAACATCAAAAAGTAATACTTTATTTGAGTAAATGCATAAACATATTACCTTGTATAATTAATTTCATCTACTAATTTGCATAAATTTCAGAAAAAAAAAAAGAAAGTAAAAGTAATTTTGTAGCAAATGATGCAAATTAGTTAACAGATAAAATCATTAAGGAAAAGTATTTAAACTATCACAATTCAATAAAAATATTTCATTTCAATTTTGCTTTTCGACGTATACCGTTACGAACGATTTCACGTTTTTACGTTTAGCCATTTATTTAATAAAGTATATTTCAAAGGTACTATAATTTAGGATGGCAATGAATATCGATCCTCCCGATGTAACATTCCAAGCATCTGGAGGTAACGCTACTGTTAATATAATCAATCAAACCGAAGGCAGACTTGGTTTTAAAGTTTGTTTCATTCTCATTTATGAATTTCTTAAAAATTTTTATTTTGTAAATAAGAGGAAACAATTTTACAAAAAAAAAAACTGTTTTAAAAATTTTTTATAAATTAATACATAAAAATAATGTGTAATTTTCATACTAATTATCTTATTTTTATAAATTCCTTCATTTTTTTGTAAGATTATCAGTATTGATGATAAATTATAGTATAAATAGATAAAATTTGAAATTGAAATTTCAGGTGAAATCAACCAACAATGATCATTATCGTGTAACACCAGTATATGGTTTTGTTTCAAAAGGTGACAAAACAGAATTGACAATAATTCGTCTAGAAGGACCACCTAAAGAGGATAAATTTGTCATTCAATGGGCTGAGGTACCAGACGAAGAAGATGATCCACAGGCACCATTTAAAGCTGGAGCACAAGCAGGCGAAGTAATTTTGCCCATTAAAGCAGAATGATTTTCATATTATATTAAAATTCTCTTATCAATAAATATTTTATATGTATATATAAATATATGAAATTTGTATAAAAGAATTAATTATTATTAAAGTATAATTAACACATAATTAATTAGAAAATAAAAATAAGATTTTGAATAATTTCTGATAGAATAAAAAAAATAAAAAAAAATCCGATGAATATATTTTTTTTTTAAACTCTATGTTACAATATTGATTCCCTGTATTATTAATGAATTAGCTAATTAGCATACTTTTATACTTACCTTGAAACAATCATGATCTGCTTTAAATCCTGAACTAAACATTGATGTATTACTCACTAAATGATAACAATGTGTTTCACCAAGAATCCAATCCTCTTTACCATCTGGGCAACGTACTGTTTGTGGTACCATACTCATTGGTTCTTCTAAAATTAAGTTTAGCAATGATTTAGTAATATTATATACTAACATATCACGTCATCATAAATTAGAAAATAGTAATATTACGCTATCCTATCAAACATATCACGTCATCATAAATTAGAAAATAGTAATATTACGCTATCCTATCAAACATATCACGTCATCATAAATTAGAAAATAGTAATATTACGCTATCCTATCAAACATATCACGTCATCATAAATTAGAAAATAGTAATATTACGCTATCCTATCAAACATATCACGTCATCATAAATTAGAAAATAGTAATATTACGCTATCCTATCAAACATATCACGTCATCATAAATTAGAAAATAGTAATATTACGCTATCCTATCAAACATATCACGTCATCATAAATTAGAAAATAGTAATATTACGCTATCCTATCAAACATATCACGTCATCATAAATTAGAAAATAGTAATATTACGCTATCCTATCAAACATATCACGTCATCATAAATTAGAAAATAGTAATATTACGCTATCCTATCAAACATATCACGTCATCATAAATTAGAAAATAGTAATATTACGTATCCTATCAAACATATCACGTCATCATAAATTAGAAAATAGTAATATTACGCTATCCTATCAAACATATCACGTCATCATAAATTAGAAAATAGTAATATTACGTATCCTATTAAACATATCACGTCATCATAAATTAGAAAATAGTAATATTACGCTATCCTATTAAACATATCACGTCATCATAAATTAGAAAATAGTAATATTACGTATCCTATTAAACATATCACGTCATCATAATCTAGAAAATAGTAATATTACGCATCCTATTAAACATATCACGTCATCATAAATTAGAAAATAGTAATATTACGTATCCTATCAAACATATCACGTCATCATAAATTAGAAAATAGTACTATTACATCCTATCAAACATATCACGTTCATAAATTAGAAGTAATATTACATCTATCAAACATAGTTCATTTAGAAAATTACTATTAATCATCAAACATATCTCATCATATTAATTAATATTAATTATCAAACATAGTTCATAAATTAAAAGTAATATTTATTATCAAACATATCGTCATCATTTAAAAATAGTAATATTAATTATCAAACATATCACGTCATCATAAATTAGAAAATAGTTATTACATCCTATCAAACATATGTCATCAAAATTAGAAAATTTATTACGCTATTATCAAACATAAGTCATCATAAATTAGAAAATAGTAATTTACGCTATTATCAAACATATCACGTCATCATAAATTAGAAAATAGTACTATTACGATCATTATCACGTCATCATAAATTAGAAAATAGTACTATTACGCATTATCCATATCACGTCATCATAAATTAGAAAATAGTACTATTACGCTATCCTATCAAACATATCATCATCATAAATTAGAAAATGCTATTACGTAATCAAACATATCACGTCATCAAAATTAGAAAATAGTAATTACGCTATTCAAACATATCGTCAAAAATTAGAAAATAGTACTATTACGTATATCAAAATTCATCAGAAAAGTCTATTATATCCTATCAAACATTCCGGATACTATTATATTCAAAATAACGTCATCAAAATTGAAAATAGTAATTATATTTCAAAATTCACGCATCATAAATTAGAAAATAGTACTATTATATCATCAAACATATGTCATCATAAATTAGAAAATAGTAATTAATTATCAAACATATTATTAAATTAAAAATAGTACTATTATTATCCACAACATATCTCGTCAATAAATTCTGAATTTTATATCAAACAATTAATAAATTAGAAGTAATATCCATATTAAACATATCACGTCAATAAATTCTAGTAATATTTATTAAACATTCACGTTCATAAATTAGAAAATAGTAATATTACGCATTATTAAACATATCACGTCATCATAAATTAAAAATGGTAATATTACGTATTATTAAACATATCACGTCATCATAAATTAAATTAATATTACGTATTTTAAACATTCTTGCTATTCTATTAATATTACGCATTATTTTTTTATAAATTAAAGTTTAATCATTTTATCTTTAATTTAACTTATATATTACAATCATAATTTATGATAATGGTAATACTTGCAACCATAATTATCAACAATGATTAAGAAAATTTTGTAATAGATTTTTAAATTATTAAATTTAGCAAAAATTATATTAATAAAAAAATACTTTTAGCAAAAGATTAGATAATTTAAATTGTAATAAATAGCAAAAGAGAAAGTGGCAATTTTTCAAAGTACTCTAACAAATATTAAATTTTAGTAAAATTTCAGCTAAAAATTTGCAATACCGGACTAACCCAATTGATTTTCGGAGTTTTAGAAAGTGATTAGATAATTTAAATTATTATAAATATCAAAAGAAAGTGGCAATTTATTTTAAAATACTCTAACAGATATTAAATTTTCGAGATTTTTCATGCAAGTTTCATGCAGAAATTTGCAATACCGGACTAACCCAACTGATTTCCGGAAACGAATACCCATAAAGAATTCATCGTAATCATTCTCCAATGCCATTGCTGTCAAAAATAACCATTCGAAAATGTTATCAGCTTGTGCTAATTGACCATATTTTCTACCGTAATTTGTATATTTTGTTGGTAATGTTGCACAAATTTCAGATGCATCAACAAAATTAAAATGACCATTAACTGAAAATTTTTATAAAAATTTTCTAAACAAGAAAAAAATTTTTAGCAAAAAAATTTTAAACTAATATTTTTTGCATCATTGTGCTTTTTATCTCAAAATTACATGAGAATAAAACAAAATGAGAATTCAAAATTATCAAAAAAAAAAAAAAAAATGGTAATTTTGAAGAAAATTTTGATGAAAAAAAAAAAAGAAAATTTAAACAATAAATTTTTAACTTTCATAATTGAAAAAAATGAGTAAAATGCAAGAAATACAAAATAATTTTTTTCAACAAAAATCAAAAAAAAAAATGAAATTGTGATTTAGAAAAATTTATAAAAATTATAACATAAGGAAATTGTTGAATTTGAAAAGAAAAAAAAAAGGTTAAATATGACTAATTAGTATTTCATATTTGAAAAAATAAATTACAAAAATTACAAAAAAAAGGCCATAATCTTTTTCATTCTTTAGTAATGGTAATGTAAAATGTATCAAATACATTTAAATATTTCTTTTTATTTTTACATTAAAAAAAATTTCATTTTTGTTTCAAAAAAAAAAAATGAAAAAATTTAATTTATTGATAACAAACTATGCTTGTTAGGATCATTGAGAAGAAAACAGTATGTAATATCATCGATTTCATTGCATGTTTTTTTGTTTTGAATTACATTTGCTGATTCATCTGAAATATTTAATTAATTAATTAATTAAAAATTGATTCTGACATCAGGTCTACATTTTATTCTGTTGGTACTTCAAGTTTGAATTTCTTTTTTTAATTAATTAAATAAATCATCATTCAATATAATACATGGAATAGTTTAAGTTAAACATTTAATAAACTTTCAATAATTCCTTCTTATCTTATCTTATCACTTCAGACTTAACACCTCTTAAAATAAATGATAAATGATAACAGTGCAAAATCATTAACCTGCATAAGTTTCACAAATATATGGTAATTCCATTGTATCACACTGATTTGATTTGTTATCTGCTTTTGTTGAACCACTAGGGAAAACATAATCTAAAACAATCAATAAGTTTCATTTTTCAAATTACAAAATTTGAATTTTAAAAAAAAATTCCACAATTTGAAACTAATTATCTCTTGACAAAAAAAAAAATTAATTGAATTATTTTTCTGACAAGCAAAAAAAAAAAAAGAGAAATTATTTATAAAAGTAAAATAGATGGAATAATCTAAAATAAAAGTTAAATTTAAATTTCTCATTAGCTAAAGCTAGTAAATTATTTGAAATTTTTAATAATATTGCTTCAATATTTTAACCTTTTTATACCATTTAAAAGTTTAATTTGAAATTCGCCTTGTATAAGCTAGACATTAAAATTATTAGCTTATTAAATGAATTTAGTATTCATTAAAAGATCTTATTAATCAAGATAGTTCATGTTTGATAACTAAATGAGTACGGAATTGAACTAGGAAATTAAATCTAAATTAAAATTAAATCTTATTTAATCTAATTTTAGCATTTACGAAATGATAAAATTGAATGAAAAAGTAGTTATTAACTAACTTATTATACCAGCAATTCATAGATAATTATTAGAATGAATTAAATTTTCAGTTCATTTCAAATATTTTTTGAAAGAAATGGGATTTACTAGTTTTATTGAAGATAATATTCCAATATCCGACCATATTAGTAGCATCTAATGCAACACAAGCCTAAAAATATTTGTAATTAAATAAAAAAAAACATTTTTTTTGACATATTTAAAATGTATTTTTAGCAAAATGAATTTGCTAAATAAATATAAAAATATATAAATGATAAATTAAATAATAAATAATAGAGTAATAAATTATATAAGTAATAAATGAAATTATTAAATGTTGAAATAAATAAATATATGTAGGAAAATAAAATATATAATAACCTCATTGGAAAAACCAGGTTCACCAACATTTTGAAAAATATGTCGATCACCGCCAATCCGGATTACCCGATTATCTGGACCAAAACGGATCAATTTTAACGGTTCACCATCCAACCATCGTACTCGTCCATCTGTCATATCCATACCAATCCATGCATTACTATTTAAATTTTGCAACATTGATGTAACAAATCCTATTAAATGAGGTTCATTTTAAAATTTAAGTCAAATAATTATAGAAATAAAAATTCGAAAAATATAAATTTTTTTTTAAAAAAAAAAGAAAAATTTAATTTTTACATATTAAATAATTCTGCAAATATTTGCATGCTTCGTTTTTTTTTTTAGAAATGAGGAAAGACAATATTATATTTGTGCAAGTAAATTAAGTAAACAATAAAATCAGTTGAATATGTTTAGTATTAATTAGGGAATTATTAGGCAGCTTGAACAATACCGAAATTATAAAGAAACAATAATAAAATTCAAATTACTTGCATATTTGTTTTTGTTAGTAAGGAATAAATTTAGTTGTTAGTTAGTTTGTTTGTTTTTTAAAATAAGGACTAAATTTAGTTGTTTGTTTGTTTGTTTTTTTTTTAAAGTAAGGACTAAATTTAGCTAAAAATGTTTATTTTGATGATATTTAAATTATTAATTGAAATATTTTCTTTTAATTTCTTTTCCAAAAAAAATAAATTCTTACCATTTTCATACATATCAGTTAAGCTAACCAAATTAGCTTTTTCATTTTTGCAACGTTGAATAGCTTCACTGAATGTTACACCATTATTATTTGTTCCATATAATTTATAACACATTCCTCCTTAATAATAAATTAAACATTAAATTTTTTTTTTTTTTTTTTTAACAAAATTTAATTTTGACTCTTTTTTTTTTCTAATTCTTCACAATTTCTCAAATAGCTAATAAGATTTTCAATTTCTCAGTAACATTTTGAATTTTTTTCAATCATTTATATTAAATTTTAATTCTGATATTATTAATTACTTCAATTACAAATGCTAATCATTAATTTCTATATATTAATTATATAAGCTTCTTTTTTTTTTTTGTTAATTATTTGTAGTCATTTATCAGTGTTGGAAATTAATTTTAATGGTAATAAATAAAGGATGAAAAAAATACATATAGAAAATTAATTATTTTAATGAATAAAAGAAAGATAAAAAATAAAGTTATTTGATTTAACAAATTTTTTATTAGAAATTGCTTGCTAAAATTCAACTGTAAAAAAAATTAATTTCATATTTTAATATCATTTCAAATTTAAGCTGCAAATAACTAAATTATGAATCTGATATATCAATAAAAAAAAAAATCAACGGAAAATTTACTGTTTGAGCAAAAAAAAAAAAAAAAAAAAAAAAAGATTGATGAATAATTTAGTATAATGAAATTCATTTCATCATTTAAAAATTTATTTTTAAAAAAAAAAAAAGAAAGAGAGAGAGGGAGAGAGAGAGAGAGAAGAAAACGAACTGAATAATTTATATCCGTTTGAACATTTCCAGTTGCTTTGCTTTTTCAATCTTCTTTCTTCTTTTGCTGATAATTCAAAACGAGAATGATAATCAAAGCCTGGTTTACGACATATCGACAAATGACGATTATCACATCGTTGATGTGTCCAAAAATATGCTACAAAAATATTTCATTCATTTTAAATTTTTTTTTTTTAAAATATGCTTTTAAAAAAAAATGATCCGTTGGTTAATAAAACATTTTAAATTTTTAATTTAAAAAAAATTAAAAAAAAAAACAGAGAAACAGAGAACCTGGAGTATTCTTTGTTACTTGAATTGGAACACCAAAAAGATTATATAGTGGTTGTTTCTGGAGTAATTTCGTACTATAAAATATTCAACAATTCATCATTCAAATATAATTTTAAATTTTTAAATCAAAATTTGTAAACTTTCAGAATTTTTTAAAACAAAATTTATGTTTTCTACATTTATAATCTCTTTTATTTTTTTTTAAAAAAAAAAATGAATTTTTTATATGTAATTTTTTTTTTTACTTTTTTAAAATAAAAATTATAAAATGAAAAAAATATTTTTTTTGGAGAAACAAAAAAAAAAAACAAACAAACCTAACATTAAATTGTATTGCAACACAAATACCTCTCTCTTCATCCGGATCATCATTTCTTAATCGTTCCAATAAATAATCAAATGATGAACCATCAGACCATTCATATTGACTACAAATTTATTTCATTTTCATTTTTTTAAAATTATTTTATTTTACTTGAAAATTTTATTTAACAAGAAAAAACTTAAAGAAAAATTAAACTTTCTTTCTGTTAATAATTAATAGAATCAAAAATAAATAAAAAAGATTATTTTGATGATAAAATAAAAAATAAAAGACGAAAAGAGAAATGAGAAAAGATTATGATCATAAATTAATTATTTTGTTTAATTCGGTGATCATTTCTGGAAATTTTTTTTGACTTGAATTATTAGCAGTAGATAACTACGACAGGTAAAAAATGATACCTTTGAGCATTTCTTCGATGTAATCCAATCCAATATTTTGTTTCACCACTTATTGATGGTTGTAATTTTACCTTAATAATTCATTTTTCTTTTCAAATTTATTATAATAAAATTATTGTATCTAAATTTTTGGTAGTAAAATTAACAAAATTATTTTGAATGAATTTTTAATCAAAATTAGTAAAATTATTTCGATTCAATTTATCTTTGTTAAATATTTTAAAAAATATATTAAATTTGACTAGAATGAAAAGTTATTTAAAAAAAAACAGAAAAAAAAATGTTTATTTTATTTTATTCTTAACAAAAATATTTGTGATAATCTTTCCCACATCATTAAGCTATTTTAAGCAATTAAATTAAATATTTTAAATAAAATTGAATACTAAAAATTTTAAATTAAATATTTTAAATAAAATTGAATACTACAAATTAGTGAAGAGTTTTATTTCCGATTAATTTATAGCATAAATTTTAGCAAATTGAAAAATTTTTTCACACATCTTTAAACTTCTCAAAATGGATATCTTACCTAATCAATTGTACTGATAAATTTACTTCTCTTTATGTTTCAATCATTTTAAAAGTAATGTTTTTTTTTTCCTAGAAAGATAAGAAATAAATAATTTATCTTAAGTTGCATTTATTTCAATTCTTTATTACTTCTTCAAATTATTCAAATTGCATGGATATATCCTTATCTAATCAATTCTACTGATAAATTTGTTTATTTTTCTTTCTTAATAAACATATTTGTTTACAAGAAATTTTTTGTATTAAAATTTAAAAAAAAAAGAAAACACTGCCATTTCATAAATGAAATTTGCTTCTTCTTTTGAATGAATTGAAGTAAGATCAGATTGATGTTTTGCATCACATTCTTTCATTGCTTGTTCCCAATAAAATGGCTCAGTTTGTAAACGATAGCATACAGTTCCTTGGCTTGTTTTTAATGGACAAAATAATGGATCAACACCACATGGAACTATAATTTAATTAATTAATTAATTAATTAAAAATAATATAATATATTTACTCATTTAATTATATTTTGAAATTCTATTATTTATATTTTATTATATTTATCTAATTATATTTTACCTTTTTTTCACTTTTTTTCGGCTAAATTGTTAAAATTTTTGTTAATAAATATTGAAAATGATAAAAAGTTGAAATTAATTTTTTTTTTTTTTAAATGAAATAAATAAATAGAAAAAAAAAAAGCAAACAAATGGCTAACAATCAGCGGTAAGTTCACTATTTGCGCTTTCCGTAATTTCTACTTCTTCCTCTGTTACAATAGCACTACCACCACTAGAAAGTTGATCCTAAAATATCAATCCAAAATTTTTGATAATAAAATGACAAAAGTTTAAAATTAAATTTTTTTTTTTAAATGAAATAATTAAATTACATTATTGACAAAAATTTTAGAACAAGTTCTCCATTGTTTATTTCTTTTTTAATTGTTTATTCATTTATATAATAATTTTTTTTTCCTTTTTGAATAAAATTTTATTTATAAGTTCAGCGTTAAATTTACCTGTGAAAAAGCTGGCATTTGACAAATAAATCGTCGACGATCTGAACATGTGGTAATATTGAATGTTCGATGTGTTGCTAATCCGGTAGGAGATTTTTGAACTGTAATTTTAGTAATAATAATACGGAATTTGATGCCTTTTTTTTTTCTTATTAACTACTTCCTGAATTTTTACAAAAATTCATTTTTATGCTAATTAATAATTTCACTCCTAACTGATATATAGCACAATTTAAGCAAATAATAGCAAAAATTGATAAAATAAATTTTAAATTTTCAGAAAACATACAATCATAAAAAACACAATAATGATTATCCCATTTATTTGATTTTGGTACGGTAAGTTTTACATCACCAATTATCAATTTATCATTTGCAAATAATTTTCCATCAGTCCATCTATAATTAAATATTATTAATTTTTAATAAATTCTGAAATTATTTATTTCAAAAATTTTGCCGGAAATTTGCCGAAAATATGAAAAAAAAAGAGAAGAAAAGAAAAAAGCAAATAATGAAGAGAAAATTTTTATTTCTTATCAACATTTATCATTATTAGCAATCCAACAAGAAATTAAATTCAACTTTTAAGTGAAAATTTTTTGACTATATTATTGCTATTGATAAGTAGTACTTATAAGACGTATGAAATAACACGTAAATCACGTGTATTCTTGATGGTACAATAATTTTTATTCTCTTTTTTTCTTCCTTTTTTTTTATCTTGGAAATTAATTAATGATAAATTTTTGATTTCATTTTAAGCCATCTTTTTTTTTTTTTTTTTTTTTGATACATTCAATGAAAATGCAAAGTTATAAATTTGAAATTGTAAACTTGGAAATTAAACCTGAAGGAAGGCATTTGATCATTTTGACTCTTCGGACATAATTGGCCAAGTCCAATCCACCAGCCAGAATCAAACCATGGAGAATTTTTTGGAAATAATGTATACAATGATTTCCCTTTCATTTGCATTTCTCTATCAATCTTTAAATAAAGTTATTATCAATTATTATCAGTAAAATTGATCTATATATATTTAAATTATTATATTTAAATATAAATTAGCAAGAAAGGAAGAAGGGAAAAAAGCAAAATAAAACTAAATCAATTATTTGATAATAAGTTAAAATAAATACAAACAATTAATTTTATTTTATTTTTGAATATTTGTGTGTGTGTTTTGTTTTCCCCAAAGAAATTTAAAATTCAAAATATCAAAAATAAATTAAAATTTGTTAAAATAACACATCAGCAATTTCTATTATTCTGCTAATAATATTTACAATAATTATTTACAAATATTTGAAGTTGCTAATTTTGAAATTGAAATTATTTAAAAAATTAAACCGCTTCCGTAAGCCAGCTAATTTGTTCCATTGTTTGTATCGAAACTAGATGAGCATCTTTTCCAACTTGTCGACAGCTTTCTTCAGCTTGTTGCCATGTCATCCGGAATACCGTTAAAATCTTCAAGCAATGAGTGTATTTAACTGATCCGGTTGATGCATACGGTACCCAGCCATTATGACACGATAATTTATTTCCTAGAAATTACATTAGGAAAAAAAAAATTATTAAATAAAAGGAAGTGGTTAATTATTTATTCATTATTTAAAGAGGAAAACTGAAGAAATAATCGCTATTCGTTATCACTAAACTTATCAGAAATATCCCTACTAATCAATAATTAATTAATCAACCTTTATCAGAAATATCACGAAATATCACTACTAATCAATAATTAATTAATCAAGTTTTATCAGAAATATCACTACTAATCAATAATTAATTAATCAAGTTTTATCAGAAAATCACTACTAATCAATAATTAATTAATCAAGTTTTATCAGAAATATCACTACTAATCAATAATTAATTAATTTCATCTCCATCGATTACTAATTTATTTATAATTTCTTCTTTTCTTATATTCAATAATCTTTTTTAACATTTTTGCTATTATTTTTTTCAAAAAAAAAAAAAAAAAGAAATAAATATTAACTTTCTATTTGTATTTTTGCTTCTGCGATATTTTCCTTCTTACCATTTATCTTATCAATTATATCAAATGTTGATAATAAAAATAGAATTATCATATACATATGTGTATAAGCAGGTAAATTATAGTATTAATTTAATAGCCAATTCTTAATTCTGTAAGTTAAACAATGTAATTAGAAAAAAAAAATTTAAATAATACACCAACAAATGAAATTTATTGAAAAAACGTTTAAACATAAAATAATCATTTAAATTACATATTTTTATTATTTAAAAGATTTTTTCTTTCTTTCTTTTTCTCCAAAAAATTTAAAAAGTTTTTAAAAATTCTTAAAAAAAAAGACATTATTATTTGTTAAAAGTAAAAAAATTCTTTTTTAATTAATTAATTAATTTTTTTATTTAATGATCCGATTGATACAAAATATTAATATCACTACACTTAGCAACATCAAATGAAATTCAAAAAATTTCAAAAAAATAAAAAGACAATGATTGCAGTGAAAAGTGGTTTAGAAAGAAATTAAATTCAATTTTCAATCAATCTATAATACATTTTGGCATTGCTACAAACAGAAAAAAATTCGATGATTTTTGGCTTTTAAAAAAAAAATTAAAAATTAACTAAAAATTGAAATATTTTCCAAAAAAAAAAAAAATTAAAAAATGTAAAAATTAGAGAGAAAAGAAAATTGAAGAAAATGCGATAAAATAAAAAAAGGGAAAAAAAAGTGTGTTATTATCATAAGAAATAATAATATATTGAATATTTTACTTAGTGTTTATCCTCTAATCAGTAAATAAATTTGACTATAAATTATCATTTTTGTTATCTTATTTTGAAAGTTTTTAGAAATGAAAAAGAAAAAAAAACAAATTAAAGTAAACATAGAATAAGAAGAAAAAAAAAGATTATCAAAATTAAAAAAAAAATAAACAAAACAAATTAAAGCAACAATATCAGTAGAATATACAAAGTAACAATATCAGTAAAAAAAAAATGATTATCAAAATTTAAAAAAAAGAAATAATAATTAAATAATAAACAAAACAAATTAAAGTAACAAAAGCAGTGGAAAAAGGAGAAAAAAATAATTACTAAAATTAAAAAAATAAAAAATCAAATAATAAAAAGAAATAATATTTTATATAGTGCTAAAGTTTTAAATCGTTACAATTGAAATTGGTCGATGAAATTGCTAAGAGAAGTAGAAAAAATGTTTCTCTTTTCTTTTTTTCTCTTCTTTTCCCCTCTCTCTCTCTCTCTTTCTCTTCATTTTTTTTTCCTCTTTCTTATCAATATCAAATCAGCATGATTTCATTGGTAATCACTACTTGATCATATAAAAAAACCATAAGTGTCAAAAAAAAAAATAAAATAAAATAATGAAAAGCTTTTATGATCCGTTTTACAGATATATTACAAATAAATTTATAATGCAAGTATTATCATTGCATAAATAAAATAGAAATTCTTATTTTTTAATTTTATAAATTTTTAAAATAAACAAGCATAAAAGCAAATTGTAACAGATAAAAATTTGATAAAACCAAACAAATAAGTGAAATAGATAAGCAAATAAAATAAAAAAAAATAAAAAGCAAAGAGAAATAAAAAAAAATTCAAATAGCGTTCTGTTAGAATTAAATTTTTTTTTAATACAAGCAAAAAAAAAAATTATGTATATATTTATAGCAGAATAACTTTATTTATTTATTTACAAATATAAACAAGTTGAAATAATTGGAATATGCAAAAAAAAAAAGATAAGCAAAATAATTAGAAAAAAATAACAAATAAGGAAGAAGAAGAAAATAAACAAATAACATTTGTTAGAATTAATTTAAATATCAATGATTAAAATGAAATGTAACTCTCTTTCTTTTTTTCTTTGCATTTATTTATTTATTAATGCATTAGAAGAAACGTTTACATTGCTAATATGAATCATTGAATTATTTGTGCTAATTGAGGTGAAAAAAAAAGAAAGAAAGAAAAAGGTTACAAAAATTTATGAATCATATAAAAAAAAAGGTAAAACTGTAATGGAAAAATGAGACAGAGAGAGAGAGAGAGAGGGAGAAATACAACTGAATTTTCATATGTTATTGTTAGATGAAATTGTATCAACAATAAGTAAATAGTAATAACAACAACATACAGTAACAACAACAACAACAGTAACAGTAACAATAACAATAACAACAATAAACAGCACTGAAAAATAAGTGAAACATCATATTATTACTTTTCCAGCATTCTGATTAAAAAAAAGAAAAGGAATGAAAATAAAAAGTAGAAAATGGTAAATGGAATAATATTAGAAGTTAATCACGTTGAAATAATGACGGAAGTGATGGTCGAATGATGGTGAATGGACGTGAGTGACGCTTAAATAATGACGGAAGTGATGGTCGAATGATAGTGAATGGACGTGAGTAACGCTTAAATAATGACGGAAGTGATGGTCGAATGATGGTGAATGGACGTGAGTAACGCTTAAATAATGACGGAAGTGATGGTCGAATGATGGTGAATGGACGTGAGTAACGCTTAAATAATGACGGAAGTGATGGTCGAATGATAGTGAATGGACGTGAGTAACGCTTAAATAATGACGGAAGTATAAGTAACGCTGAAATAATAGCATAAGTAAGTGATATATGGAAGTATGAGCAGAAAAATAAGTATATGAATTGTGTTATTTGACCACGTGGAAAGGATGATCCATTGAATGAATCGGTGTATTCATTTTTGCAACACGTTTTAGCAGCTTCGTCTTCTTCATTATCATCGATACAATCAATCAATCATGATCAAATGGCAATGGATCGGAGAAGAAATGAGCGCTGAGCGCAGAAGAGTAAGTAAGCTAATAGAGGCGCAGAAGACAAAGGAAGGGATGGATTTATTTGGGCGGAAAATGTTGTTATTGCTAGCAAATTTCTAAAGAAGGATGAAATAGATGATATGCTTTTTATTGTTTATTTTATTTCATTCAAATTAAAACAAATAAATTTCTCTCAAATAACAGTTGGCAAAAAATTATTCTAGTAAAAAAAAAAAAAATGAAAAGAATTGAATTTAAATTGAACTAAATTACGATGAAAAAAAAAAAAAGAAGGAGAAGAAATTTGAATTAAATATTAATAAAATATTAGCGATAAAAGATAATCTAAATATTATATAAATTTCTGGTATAAAAATTTATTAAAATATTTACTAAGAGTTGTATTTGAGTCAAATTTTATTATTTTAATATTTTACTAATTAGCTATTTCATTTTTTTTTCTTTTTGCTTGTTTCAAATTTGAAATTTTCAAAAAAAAAAAAAATTTAAATTAAGAATTAAATTAGATTTCTCTCATATTGTAAATATTATAATTTTTCGTCGTGAATTTAAATAATATTTTGAAATTTTAAAATATATAATATTACGCTTTAAATTTATCCTATAAATATGTAACATCATCAATCGCAAATTGTCAATATTTTAATTCATCTAAAACATTATTAAACAAATTTAATGCTTAATAGTTGCTTTGAACCAAATTTTATTGCACTATATATTGACTAGCTAATTTGGATTTTCAAAATTTAAACTTTACATTTTAATCCTACTTTCGAAATGCTACAAATGTAATTTCGCTTTGGTTGACAAATTTTGAGAAAACTAAGCAAATTATCATTCGTCAAATAAACAAAATGACAGATGGCGATATTTGCACTTAATAGTATACAAAAGCAAACAAATCTATTTGTTATAATTTTTACATTAAATTTAAAAAAAAATAAACAAACAGTGTACAAATAAAGCTCCTCCTTAATTATTTAAAAATATTGCAAAAAACAAAAAAAAAAAAAAACAAAAAAAAAGCAAAATTTGGGTAAATTATGGAAGAAAATTTGTGTAAATGACAATAAAGTTATAATTTATCTTTTTTAATTTTTTTTTTTCTTTTAAATATAAATGGCAAATCTAATATGAAAGAAATTTTCTATAAAGAGAAATTCTTTTATAAATGACAAGCACAAAGCAAAAGAAAAAAAAAATTGAATAAGAATTGAGAAATAGTTTGAATTAAATAATTAATAAAATTTAGTTAAATAAAATATTGGTATTTCATTTTAGTACTTGCATAATTTTTTCTAATTTATGCATTTCTCAAATTCTATTAGGTATTTGATTTCATGTACAATTTGTTTACACAATAATTAAGTATCAAAGAAGGAAAAATAATTAATTAACAAGTAACAATTATTAAATACTTATTCGCATTACTTAATGCTTTATTTTGTATTAATACTAATTTGAATGATATCAATTGGTCACACAGAAATTAAATATTAAAAAAGAGAAAAAAAAATAAATAACAAATAAACAACCATTAATTAACGATTACTCATACTAATAATAACTTTTTAATTTTTATTTTCCTCGCCTTTATAATAGTTTACAACATGAGAATTGCATACAAAAATAAAAAATAAAATAAAAATGAAATTTAACAAATATTTAGCTTTCATTTTTTTTTCCTTTTCGATGATCACAACGAATTTTTTTTGTGTTTTTTTGTTTTTTCGATCTGCTTTCATTATATTATATATATATTTGTATAAACAGAATATTTCATTAAATTTAATTATTTGAAATAAATGTTCGATGGATGCGAGAAATGATAATAACCTTTTGCTGACAAATCATCCGATCAAGCACAAAATAAATTCTGACAAATTAGCAATTCTATCCATTTACTAATTAGCATATTAATGATGAAAAAAAAAAAAGTATATGATTAATTCAGTTTTAAATCAGCCATTTTTGAATGCTTTCTCATGAAAATATTATCAAATAATCATAGCAAATGAATTTTAAACATTTGCAAAGTATTAATTAAACGATTTAAAAAAACAAAGTTCAAAAAAAAAGAAAAAAATTGGAAGATAATTAATTCAAATATATATATTTGCAATTTGCAATAACAACTGCGAAGTGAGAAATGGAAGCTAATATTAGTAAGCATTTTTTGATCAAAGATTTGTCAATAAAAAAAACTTTCAAAAATGAAATAAATCAGTTAAATTAGCAATTAGCAGTTT